AGCCAGGGTTGGGCCAGGCCTGGCGTATGGGACTCCATTTAGGTCTCCTGTGTGGGTGACAGAGAACAGAATCCTAGAGCCATCACCTGTTGCCTCCCTAGTGTACATTAGTGGGAAGCTGGAATCAATAGCAGGGCTGGGATTTGAACCCAGGTGTTCTGGTATGGAATGTGGGTGTCTGGGGTAGCGCCCTAACCACTCTGCCAAATGCCTTCCCCACTGTTTTCTTATTCCTTCCCAAAGGTAAAAATCTAGAAATGTCATATCATTCATGCTACCTCATGGAAAGTTAAACATTACGTGGCCAGTGTGACCCACACCATAGCTGAACATCTAAAGCAAGACCTGCTGTAGACAAACTCATTCTGTTGGCTGAGAGGCTAAACTAGTGCCTGAAGTGTACACGTTACGAATAAATATGGGACTGGCGTTGTGGCCCAGCAAGGACGCTGCCACTTGTGACACTGGTATCCCACATGAGCACAGGTATCCCATATGAACACAAGTTCTGGCTGCTCCACTTCGGATATAACTCACTGCTAAGATACTTGGGAAAGGCAGAAGATGCAGATGGAGTGCTGGCTTCTTCCTGGCTCAGCCTGGATCGTTGCTGCCACGTGGAGAGTGAGCTAGCAAATGAAAGACTGCTCTGTCTCTCCGTTTTCTCTGCAACTTTTTCAAATAAAAGAGAGAGCTTTATATATTTTTTTAAAAAGCAGTCAGATACATTTTGTTGCCTGTATTTTCGTGTTAAATTCTGTTAAATCCAAGAAGTATCATCTTCTGAACTAGGAAACCCAGAGTTGGAGCCAGCACTTTGATGCCCTCGCAGATGGAGCGACAGACACAGAATTTAGAAGCACAGGAGAGTCAGCTGTATGGGGAAGATTTACAGGTCAGAACGACACATATACTTGGGCCTTCACCCAGCATTCACTAGGTGACCATCTCCTGACTCGGTATGCCAGGCCCTAGAGTGGCAGTGAGTATAAATGGGGCCCACTGTTGTGGACCTTATTCTCTGTGCATTTTGTATAAATGCTAAGAGGGTATAGCAGTGCCTTACTCTGATGTGTTAACATGTACTTTTGTGGGAGCTTAAAGAAACTAAGGAGGGCTTTCTGGAGGAAAAGGCACCCAAGCTGAGGCTAGAAGAAAGGAATTAGGGTGGATGAGCATGGCTGAGTTTTCTGGGCTGGAAGAACCATGAGTGTGAAGGGATTAAGGTAAGGGAAGAGCTTGCCCTCAGTGGAACTAAAGGAAGTTCCAGTGCGACAAATAGAACAGTGAGGAGGATATAAACGGTAGACCTGGAGAAAAGAATAGGACAGCCTCAACCAAAGTATTGGATCAGATCATTCCTTGTGTAAGCATGTTTGTGTGTGTGCTAGCTTGGGTAAATTTTACATGTTGTGAAATGCTCATGACAAATGCAAACATCTGGTTAAAAGTCAGGACTTTCAGCTTGGTGCTTGAAGCAATGGGAGGGGCCCAGATTTGATGCTGATCACCAGCAAGACTGGGAGGATGGGGCGGCACATCAATGAAGACAGGACTGCACTGGGGAGGTGGTGCTTTGCCAGTAACTGGTGACTGAGAACATGCAAGGATCTTGGTTTTCCCAACATGATCTTAGAGAACAATCTCCTAAGTACTTTGCGGGATTCAAAGTGTCTATACAGACTCAGAAGACTGGATTCACAGGGTCTCCCTGGAAAGGACTTCTGCGGCACCTGCACTTTGAATAAAGCTTCCCCAAAAGTTCAGGGGTGTGGGGCAGTGGTAACTGCACACAGAGGTGTTCTCCCAATTTCGTGATAAAACATGGGGAGGTAACTGCCTTGTTATTTATTTTTTTGCAGCACATGTTGACATTTTTTTTTCTTCGAAGAGTAAGGTACTAAAGTATTGTTACAGTTCTGGGTTTCAGAAATTTACTGCAGATCAGTGTCATTTAAATGTTTTATTGTAATACCTGAATTTTTGACATTGTGTCAGCAGTTATTTAACATTTTATTGTGATGTTTTATTTTTCCAAATTATTATTTCATGAAAGGCAGATTTACAGGGGGCAGAGATCATCCATCCACTGATTCATCCCCACATGGCTGCGGTGTCCGTGGGTGGGCCGCCTGGGTGCAGGGCCCACACGTGGCTTCCTCCACTGCTTTCTCAGTCAATAGCAGGGAGCTAGATTGGAAGTGGAACAGTTGGACAGGATCTGGCACCCATTTAGGATGCCAGCCATGCATGCAATGGCTGTACCTACCACACCACAGTGCCAGCCCCTAATATTAGTAAGGGTGAGAAAGGATATTGTGGGTAGAATTATTTTCATTGTTCCTAATTAGGAAATGTCTAAATTTCTTCAAATAAGCAGACGTAAAAATGTATTGAGAGCAGATCTGTTTTTCACCTCCTTTATTTTCCTTTAAAAAATAACTTGAAGGAACAGTGCTTAAAAATAGTTTACTGCTAAAAAACCCTAAAATAGATTTATAGCAGTTTTGTTTATGTGCTTCTCCAAAGTTTGCTAGCTCTACATAGGTTTTGTATAAATTTATTAAAAATGTTTTTGCGTTAGCCTAAATCACAGCATGTTCAGGGCAAGGACCTTAACTGCTACGCTATCGCTCCGGGCCCAACTTAGAATTTTCTATAAAGTTCTCTATTACAATTAGATATAGTTAGCCCAGTTCGTAATCTTTTTGTGCCTGTTGGCTGTATAGCAACAATTACTGAGTCTAATAGTCCTGCCTTCAATTTGGACTATACCTCAAGGGATCATAGGAGATTATTTTAAAAACTCTTTCAGTGTAGGCCATCAGTCCCCAACATTCTATTTCCTAAGGCAAAGGTTGGCAAACTATGGCCTGTGGGTCAAATAGACCCCTCCATCTGTTTTTGTAAAGCAGTATTGGCATATAGCCATAATGATGTGTTTATGCCTTCTGTTGAGATTGCTTTTTTTTTTAAAGAATTATTTTATTATTTTTCTTGGAAAGGCGGATATACAGAGAGGAGAGTCAAAGAGGAATATCTTCTGTACGAAGATTCACTCCCAAAGCGGCCACAACGGCTGGAGCTGAGCCAATCCGAAGCCAGGAGCCTCTTCTGCTTTCTGGGGCCAAAGGCAGGGAGCTGGATGGGAAGCACAGCTGCTGGGATTAGAACCAGCGCCCACATGGATCCTGGGCGTGCAAGGCAAGGACCTTAACCACTACGCCATTGCACTGGGCCCAAGATTGCTTTTGCACTATAAGGTGGAGTTGAGTAGTCATAACTGAGACCAACTGACTTACAAAACCTAAAGTGTTTGTCCATTTATAGAAAATATTCAACAATCTGTGTTCTTTTTTTAAAGATTTATTTTTTTATTATTTTTTACTGGAAAGGCGGATATACAAAGAGGAGATACAGAGAGGAAGATCTTCCGTCCGATGATTCACTCCCCAAGTGAGCCGCAACGGGCCGATACTATGCCGGTCCGAAGCCAGGAGCCTCTTCCGGGTCTCCCACGCGGGTGCAGGGTCCCAAAGCTTTGGGCCGTCCTCGACTGCTTTCCCGGGCCACAGGCAGGGAGCTGGAAGGGAAGCGGGGCTGCCGGGATTAGAACCAGCGCCCATATGGGATCCCAGGGCGTGCAAGGCGAGGACTTAACCACTTGCGCCACCGCGCCGGGCCCCTGTGTTCTTTTTTTAAAAATGTATTTGGTCGGGCCCGGCGGCGTAGCCTAGCGCTAAACTCCTCACCTTGAACGTGCCAGGATCGCATATGGGCAATGATTCATGCCCCAGCTGCTCCACTTCTCATCCTGCTCCCTGTTTGTGGCCTGGGAAGGCAGTGGAGGATAGCACAAAGCCTTGGGACCCTGCACCCATATGGGAGACCTGGAGGAGGCTCTTGGTTCCTGACTTCAGATTGACTCAACTCCAGCCATTATAACCACCAGCAGATGGAAGATCTTTCTGTCCCTCCTTCTCTTTGTATTTCTGCCTTTCCAATATGCTGCCTCCAGGGTCCACATTGACAAGAAGATAAAATCAGAAGTCATAGCTTGAGCACTGAACCCAGGCTCTCCCATGTGGGTCAGTGGTGTCTTAACCAAATAGACGAAATGCTTTCACCCACTTCCCTAGTAATGGTAATTAAAATGTTTCCTGCCCTCCGCTATTTTTTGAAAACATCTATTTATTTAATAGGCAGAGTTAGAGAAAGATGTCTTCCATCCCCTGGCTCTTTCCCAAACAGCCAGAATAACTGGAGCTGAGCTCGTCTGAAGCTAGGAGCTTTTTCTGGGTCTCTTGAGTGAGTACAGGGGCCAAGAATTTGGTCCAACGTCCACTGCTTTCCCATGCCGATTAACATGGAGTTGAATTGGAAGTGGAGCAGCCGGAACACAAACCCAGGCCCATATGGCCTGTGTTACAGTGCTGGATTCTCCTTGCTTTTTAAATCCAGTAGATTAGATAGTTTGATTTGTTTCAGAAATTTGTAACTGTGAGTCCCAATAATATATACAATTTATATTACCAAGTGTGTGTAATACTCCTACATACACATCAAGTGTAAATAAATACTAATAATATTTATAGTATAAATTAATACTGTGTAGTCCCAACACAGTAGCCTAGTGGCTAAGGTCCTTGCCTTGTACACACCAGGATCCCATATGGGCGCCGGTTCTAATCCCGGCAGCTCCGTTTCCTATCTAGCTCCCTGTTTGTGGCCTGGGAGGGCAGTCGGGAATGGCTCAAAGCCTTGGGACCCTGCACCTGTTTGGGAGACCTGGAAGAAGCTCCTGGCTTCAGATCGGTTCAGCTCCAGCCATTGTGGCCACTTGGGGAGTGAACCATCAAACAAAAGATCTTCCTCTCTGTCCTCCTCTATGTATATCTAATTTTCTAATAAAAACAAATAAATATTTAAAAAAAAACTATGTAGTGCTTGCAGTACACTGAAATATTTTCTCGTTTAATCTGTTTGGTTTCATTTTTTTTTAAAATATGGAAAGCTTCATGAATTTGCATATCATCCTTGCTCAGGGGCCATGCTAATCTTATCTGTTTCATTCCAATTTTTGTATATGTGCTGCCAAAGTGAGCACAATTTGGTTTCATTTTTTAAAATTGTATTAATCCTAGGGCAGGTGAAGGGTGGTGCAGTGCATCAACCAACTGCTTGAGGTGCCAGTATCCCATATATGGTATAATTTTGAGTCCTGGCTTCCCCACTTCCAATTCTGCTTTTTGTTGACCCTGGGAAAGCAGCAGAAGACAGTTCAAGCTCTTGAAACCCTCAACCCATCTGGGAGATGTCAGTGGAGTTCCTGGTTCCTGGCTTTGGTCTGGTGACCATTCGGGAAATGAACTAGCTGATGAAAAATTGATCTTTTTCTCTCGCTGTACCTTTCAAATATATACATATGTTTATATTTAAAATATGCTAATCCCAATGTGTTAGACTGATTTCATGAACTTCCAATCAGTCTTATCACCTGGGTACAAGAACAATTTTCCATTCATGAATCTTCCAAGCTGTGTTGCATTTCCTTAAGGCTCCTGTCTGTGATCATTTCTGGTTTTGATTGTTCAATTAGTGTTTTTTTTTTTTTAAAGATTTATTTATATTTACTGGAAAGGCAGTTTTACAGAGAAAAGGAAAGGCAGGCAGACAGACAGATCTTCCACCCGCTGGTTCACTGCCCAAGTAGCTACAATGGCTGGAGCTGAGCTGAGGAAGCCCGGAGCTTCCTCCAGGTCTCCCATGTGGGTGCAGGGTCCCAAGGCTTTGGGCCATCCTCCACTGCTTTCCCAGGCTGTAAGCTGGGATATGAACCATTGCCTATATGGGATCCTGGCACATGCAAGGCAAGGACCTTAGCCGTTAGGTTACCATGCCAGGCCCCAATTAGTGACACACTACTGAAGTGTTTGCTACAGAGAGTTTAAGCAGAAAAGCATTTGAAAGATTTAAGGAGCTTATGGAATCTCATGGGGCCCAGGTGCTAGTTCACTGAGCCAAGCAGCCAGTGGACTGCAGGCCACGGAAGCCCATCACCATAGGGTGACTTGCTTAGAGAAAATCCTATTGCCGTCATCACTCAGCTTCCGTGACAGTCGGGGCCGGGTGCCAGATACCCTGCCAAAGAAGTTCCGTGAGAACTGCCTGTCTGCCCTGGGCTCTGTCGAAAGACTCAGTCCCTCTTCATAGGCCACCTCTCCCTGATCACCCAGAACCTCGGCCACATCAGAACCCCACTGACTGGGGCCCCTAGACCTGTCCCCCCAGACTTAAATATAGTCCTGGAATGCTGGCCAGAGGGGAGGTATGGCAGGTGCTGAATGAGCTGATCCACATCTCACATCATAAAGACAGGCTCCCTCGGCTGACATTCTCAGGAGGTGAGTCTTGAACTGCCTCCAAAAGGCCTGCGCAGGCGGTTCCCAGGCACGTAAGCCAGGACCCTTCAGCGGAGGAAGCAGTGTGTGCAAGGGCATGGAAGCATGCCCGGCTTGGTAATGGTCTGAGACTGACTAGTGATTGTTCTAGAATACTACATGGAGTCTGGAGTACTTACATGGAATGATTACAGTGAGAATAATGATGGTGCTCTGGCCTGCTTGGGCCTGCCGGAATGGAGTTCACAGACTATGTGGCTTTAGCAGCTGAGATGCACTTTCTCAGCGTTCGGGAGGCCAGACGTCCTAGGTGAAGCTGTTGACTGGTTTGGTTTCTTCTTGGTGTTCATATAGCTGCCTTCTTGTGTGTCTTCACCTGGTCACTTCCTGGTCTCTATGTACCTTGCACATACACCAGTCATGCTTGGGGCTTGTTTATATGACCTCACATGTTACCTCAATTATCGCATTAAAGGGCTTGTCTCACCAGTCCCATTCTGAGATAGGGACACTTCGCCATAGGAATTTGGAGGAACAGGTTTCAGTTTGTTACAGGTGGATTGAGAGCAGATTGTAAAGTATCCTAAGTGCAGCACTGAGAATTTGTTCATTATAAACTTTTTAAGCTTTGAATATAGTAGTGTAAAGGAATATAATAACTCAGTCTATATAACTACTGTTCTATTCAATTTTTGAGTTTTTTCAGCAAACATACTTACATAAAAGCCATTTAGGTTTAATGTTACTATTTTATATTTGTTCAATCTGGAATGATGTAATTGTTAAATGGTGAAACATTTAAGAAATAAGTGTAACAAATGTAAGGTGTAATTTTTAGCTATTTAACTTTCGCTTAAAGCATTTTCAAGTTCATTTCAAGTGTGTGTTACAGGGTGGACCTGTGACCTAGCAGGAAAGATGCCCGCATGCCACTGTCCACGTCTCATATTGGGGTGGCTGGGTTTCATTTTTGGCTGCACTCCTGTTCCTGACTGCACACCCTTGCAACCGCTGGAAGGCAGCACGTGGTGACTCCCCTAAGTCCCTGCCTGGGACCCACACAGGAGACTGGGGCTGAATTCTTGGCAGAAGCCCTGGGTGTTGCAGGTGTTTGAGGAGTGAACCAGTGCATGGAGCTTTTTTTTTCTGACTCTCAAAATAAATGAATAAAAATGAAAATCTTTCAATTAGCCGTAATTTTAGGTTCTGTTATTTTCATAATCAGCTGGTTTGTATCCCGGTTGCTCCACTTCCCATCGAGCTCCCTGCTTGTGGCCTGGGAAAGCAGTTGAGGATGGCCCAAGGCCTGGGGACCCTGTACCCATGTGGGAGACCGGGAAGAAGCTTCTGGCTTTGGATCAGTTCAGCTCTGACTGTTGTGGCCACTTGAGGAGTGAATCAGTAAATGGAAGATCTTTCTGCCTCTCCTTCTCTCTGTAGATCTGTCTTTGCAATAAAAATAAATCAATCTCAAAAAAAAAAAAACTAAACAAAACATGATTTAGGCCTAATTTTATATCTCTTTTTGAACTTGAGCAACATATGCAATGCACAACCAAGTCTTCTGATGTTCTTCCCATCTTTCAAGGTACTTCTAGCAGGTGATCTGCCTGATGGAGAAGTCCCGGTCTTGTTGTTGCATCTGGTTTTCTTTGAAACTCGACCTGTTAATTAACCTTTCCAGCCGTCTTCCTATAGTTGGTCTAACAAGTGTGTCCAATAGGTTTCTGTTCTGTTTCTAATCTTTGTGCCAAAATGAGTCTTCAAGTATATCACCTTTCTTTGTATTTTCATATTGGATCCTTTAATGCAGAAACAGATACCTGCAATTTTCTTATCTTTTGGCCTGCTACCTTAGTTTTGCCCAAAAGATAGGGGAGCATCCTTTACTTTTGAAAATCTGCTCTCTTAGAGACAACACTACTTCAGGCTTGGGGATTTTTCCTGGCTGAGAATTTTCATCTGTGAACACAGTAGGCTCTTGGCAGCTCTTTAATAAATGATCTGTGCTGCAAATCATGACACTGGTACACATTTAGATCAAAGTTATCTCGTTCTTTCACAGATGGTCTTGTTCTTGATCTTACCTTTCATGATATTTGAAATCCCCTGGATTCAGGATAAGCATCAGGCGCCAGGAGCGATGCAGTCATTCGTAGGAAATGAGAAGGAAGCTCAAGGACTTCTACACCTCGGGTGTCTCATCAAATGATTTAAGAAGGGCTTTCCTGGGTCAGGAGCTCAGGGTATTTCCATATTAGAGAATCCTGCCTTGTACTCTGTACTGTCTCCAGCTCACTTTCCTTAAAAAAAAAAAAAATCAAGTTTTCTTCTCCTGTTTTCCTCTTTCTTTTACTTTTTCTGGGTCTTTGCTTCAGCTTGTCTTGATCCTTCCTGTCAAGTGGCTGGAACTATAGGGCTGAGGTGTGAATAAAGCATGGTGCTCACTTCCTTCCACTTGCAGCTTCAGGGGTGTCTGCTGCTTCTCACCAGAGTCTTGGTGTGCTCCTTCTTGTGCACCTGCTGGCCAAGCTCAAGCTGGGAACCACACCTTCAGAGTGATGCCAGGGCAGTAGAGGGCACGAATGGGCCCCGGAGACTGTTCTCAGCTGATAGAATGTGACTTGTGCCGTTGTCACCATTTTTAATGGCCACACAATGTGTTCCTTATTTTACTTACTTCTGTTATAATTCACTCATCCGTAAATGCCTTTCTTATTTAACAGTATGCACGTATTGGTAGCATTTGGTATGTGTTGTCCAAAAGAACTTAAAGAATAATTTGATAGATCTTTTTATGGAAACATGTTTTTATTACAAATATAATCTTAGCATATGTTCTAAATAACATAAAATTAACTTTTTATACATTTTTTGTGGGAGAAATACTACCTTTATTATAAGAATCTTTTTAGAAAAATCAAGAATACTAGTAAGAAAATTTAAAAAATCTCTTGAAGTGCCATCACCGTTACTATTGGCCAGTAACTGCTGCTTTTTTCTATTCAGGAGTGCCCTTGACAGATGTGAGCTCGGAACATGCATACCTTAACTTTAAGCAAGATGACATTTTCATGTCATTAGGTACTCTGCTGTTACGACTTACTGTGACTCTGCAGTGTTACTTCCCAAAGAGACACCAGAGTTTACTTAGCTGTTCCATAAGCTTCTTTCAAGATTTTTTTCCCACTGCTCTAAACAGTGCTGAATTGAACAGTTTTGAGTTGTCTTAAAAAGGTTTATGTTACTATTTTTTTTTTAATTGGAAAGGCAGACTTACTGCACCAGACCCTATACACACATTCTTAATGACTTCTTTAAAATAAATTCTTAGAAGAACTGGATCAAAGGGAAGATACTTTTTCAAAAAGACTTCATTTCTCAAGACTATTTTAGATTCACAGCAAAACTGAATTTAAAAAATAATGAAAACAGAGACTCCTATACACCCTGTTTGGGTACACTGTTAGGGAAGGCAAGCTGCTCTTCATGAAAGTTGTCCTGTGCTCCGTTCTAACCTGCATTTGCCCATATTGCCACAGCACGGGGCATTAGCATTACGATGGCTTCTGTGCTAAAGTTTACCTGATTTGTTACTCAGAAGATTGAGGTTTCTTCCTTCTGAAATTCATGTTTATGTTATTCATCCCATTACTATTGATTGTGGTTGGTAATAGCTGAGTTCCAACAATCTTTGTAAAATTGA